TTTTACTTGTTTTGTGCGAACTTCATTTTTTTTGACAGTAAGTCTCGCATTTAGGTCGGTTGTAATTGGTGGACCGTGATCGGTGGCTAAAACAAAGGATCGATCTGTAATCTCGTCGTCTCATCTATGGAAGAAGGAAGACCACCACGCCAAGAGCACAGTATAAGAAAGCACAGTAGGCTCACTCCCCAAAAGGACGTACTAATAATTGTCTCTCGCGCATGACCGAATCGCACACCAACAATATGGCGGCTATAAACATATATGTAGCAGCCAAGAAGACTAGAACTAAGGAGAATCAACTCGTGCCAATAGCGGTAGTGGGGGTGAGGCAAAAAGTGGCGACGGATAACTTCCCCCACTCTTGCGCTTCATTAGTCCTCTCTGTCGCTCTATATAGTTGTCGCTCTATCGTTCTATAATCGTCACTTTGTCGCTCTTATATCGAACTTTCACACAATGCGCACTGCCGCTGCACATCGTGTGAATAGCCGCGGACGTTTTTTGACTCACCCCCACCACACGAGTTGATCCTCCTTAGTTCTAGTCTTCTTGGTAGCAACTATAACGTACAACGTACATGCATCCATAACCAGTATTTTATGAACTTGAAAAGACTATATATGTGTTCTGCTTTTTATTATATTAAAATTATATAATTTATTATATTAAGATATATAATATAAACATGAGTGAAAGAGGTGAATATTGCTGTTGCTTCAGGGACTGCCAAAGTGCAAGTAAAATAGACGTGGAATAAAAGAAACTTTGTTTCGATTCCTAAAAGATGTAAAAAAGTTAGTTTGTTATGTTACTTGTTTAGGCCCGTTTCTACCAATATAGATTAACTTCAATCTCGGTTCAACTTACTCTTCCTTTTCTACTTCTAGAAATTTGAAAAAGATTTAAAGCGTGGTAAATTGTTATTAGTATACAACAAAAATTTGAAAAATATTTAAAAAACTATTATTTGAAGGTCAAAATTGTGGGTGGCAACTTGTCGTCGAGAGGAACTTTTTTCCAAATCAGCCATACAGCTTTACAATAATTATAGAATATGCAACTTCATTTTACAAACGATGTTTTTAAATTTTGAGAAAACAAAATCGCAGCCACATGCCGTTCCATGTTATATTATGACAAATAATGGTAATTTATTTTCTAACAATACAATAACATGAATGGTTATCATTTGATCACACTATGATTGGACACAAGCCACTGATCATACGCACATCATGCTTCAACAACAGAAAAACTTTAGACATCGATTGTTATGAGTGACTGTATTCGTAATGTGATCAATTAGAAATCTCTCCAATAGCATTAAAATAATATGATTATGGCAATAACATTGTACATAATATAATATTTCACAGATGAAGGAGAAAGTTCAAGTAGCTTAAATGTAGAAATGCATTGCATGAATATTTTAAATACTGAAGATACGCAAGAAGAATATATTGTATTGGATACGACTACAATCGATGATAAGGTCCAGGATGTAACACATATAGATAAAACAATAGTTAAAATATCAAATGTATCAGAATCAGGAACACAAACGCCTTTGTCATTATCTTCTACATCTCCACGAAAAGTACATCTTCAATAGATAAGAAGTTATAAAAGAAAGATAGCCAATTTAGAATTAGAGCTACAACAAGCAAAAAAATTTGTAAATTAAAACAGAAATGTTTGAAGATAAGATATTGTATAATTGCAGGTACGATTGCAGTATTATGTTCTTACATTCAAGAAACATTGAAAAAAATGTGAAAATAATTGTGAAGCATATATATCTACTGTTAACGAACAAGTAATCAGGCTTTCTGTATAATATCAGTAATCACAATTTAGTCAGCATGGATACTGTTCAAGAGCAAGAATGAGATAGAGTGAGATAGAATGTATGGGATAAAATGAAATAGAAATATGTCACTAGTACTATAAATGGTTGCCAAGTCATGTGATTGCAACAGCGAGTCAGAATGCGTAACACCGGTTGCGCCTCTCTGATAAATCTAGGACTCTAGGTCTTTCCAATCAATGTTGCCAGATGTGGCGATTTATCGCCAAATTAGCGATTTTCGACTTGGTCGGGCAACTTTATTTTCGGATTTGACGACTGGCGATTTTCTTGGCGATTGATATTTCCGATTTTGACGTCTTTGGCGCCATTCTCTCTCTCTCTCTCTCTCTCTCTCTCTCTCTCTTTCTTTCTCTCTCTTTCTTCATCTCCAAACATGCTGGAGAATTTTTTGATGCGCTAATTAGTGGCTGCTCGGCTGCGTTCAGGAATTATGCCTAGATAAGTCTAGAATGTATTTTTGCTATAGTATACATAACGTATTCTATAGCTTAAGTTTGTTCGCGTCGCATGCTCTAACATATTCCAATATGCTCCTACTATAGCTCTTAGGGTGCGATTACATGGAGCGCGAAAACGCGTAACCAATCAGAAGCAATCCGCTGTTATGGTTTCGCGTTTCACCGATTACTAATTGGTTGCGTGTTTTCACGTTTCCGTGTTTCCGCGCTCATGTAATGGCACCCTTAGGCTGGAATCAGACTACACATTGAAGATTGAGATCGAAGATTGAAGATTGAAATTTGACCAATGAGGGCAAAGGAATTTTAGCTCCTATTGTTTTGATTGGTCAAATTTCAATCTTTCAATCTTCAATCTCAATCTTCAATGCCTAGTCTGATTCCGGCCTTACTCACTCCAACGTTCTTGATAGAGTGCATTTTCTCTATAATGAATGCGATTAAAACTAAGCCTGGATCCTCATACGGGCAACAGCGCTTTGACACCGAGAGCTGATTGGTGAAAAGCCGGTTGTGGGGATAAAATTAACCTCCACAATCGGCTTTTCACCAATCAACACTCGGTGTCAAAGCGCTGTTGCCCGTATGAGGATCCGGGCTAAAGCACGTAATAAAATGCTGGTTGAAATGCTAGACAGCTTAATAAGAACACGAATGTACATACTTTTATGCAAACAACGTATGTTGTTCAAGTTTCGTAGCGAGTAAGTCCACGTTAGCTGGTTTTAATTCAAAAATAGTTTATTAATTATTACAACACTCATGTGATTGTGTGCATATATGTAGTTAATTACATAATGTGCATTTCATTTAAAAAGATTATATTACCAAAGATACCTGTTTATATAATGCAATTATAGTATTCACGCTTTTATATGTTAATTTCGTTTTAAAAGATAATATCAAAAGGTTTATGTCAATGTAATATGATTATTAACAATTTATTATTAGCTGATCGCACAATGTGTTAATTTTAATGTAAAAGTTTATTGTAAGAGGTTGTAATAACATTATTAATATTCATCTTTGCCAAAAATTTCTAACAGAACTTTCCAAAAGCCGACTAAGTGCGAATAGATTCTCTTAAAAGTCTACAAACCAATCAACAAAAACGTACAAATTTTTTATTCGCATTTGGTCGGTCTTTGAAATGATCAATTAGAAATTTCTGACAGAGATGCATTCGTGCATATAAATTTTATTAAATGTGTTTTTATTTTAAAAGATTACTTTGTAATAAGATTGTAATAAATTAAACATTACTGTTTAAAATGCCAATGTTTGTTTCGATTAGTAATATCATAACTTTATATTCTTTATTTAAATAACCCGCCATAAAAGTGTAATTACATCAGTTACAGTCATAAATATAAATTCCTAAAATCTAGTGATTTTATTGGCGAAAAATTACCAAAATCTAACAATTTTATAGTAAAAATTCACCAAAATCTGGCGATTTTGTTGGCAAAAATTCACCAACAAAATGACGATTTTTGGCTATGAAAAGCTTCGTAGGTGGCGATATTGGCTACGTTTACACTGTGCGCTTAGTCCGCGACCTATACGATAGATGTCTTTGTTTAACTTACAGGATAAACAAGGACACGTATTGTATAGGCCGCGGCCTAAATGCACGGTGTAAACGTAGCCATTAGCCCTGGTTCATCTGACAACCCTGCACACATCACACGAAATTCTCGATTATCGCCGCCATTTTCTTTCACCATGGGATAGGCGGACTGTCAAAATGCCAAAGTAAGGTTAGCTTCTGAAGAAATATACATGTATCAGTAAACAACTATGTATTTGTTACAGTACAATTTACAGAACATACTGCAAAACAGAACTTACAGAACACACAAACGATGAATTCTTTGGTTCCCAAGTAAATCCATTAATTTTCCGAATATTACT